AGAGTGTCCAAGGAAGAATATTTTTGTAAATGTGTAATGGACGGTCCCAATATGTAAAGAAAGAGTGCCAAATCTATCAATATGGAATGACATGATGAAGACTTCAATCAATCAATCAATCAATCAATCAATAAGAACCACAATCACAAGACGAGAAAGACAGGGCAGAAGGAAATTAAGTGGAGGGTAAAAGACATAACGTGGACTTAGATCTGCAAGCACAACGATACCGCTTATGAGTCAATGGAACACAAAGGGAAACTTCAGAATCATTTTTGTTCAGACTCAATTTTTTCTCATTAAAAAATGGATACCTGTGAAATTAAGCGCTAATGTTTTTATATTTTGAAATATGAAAATGGCTTCAGAATCTCTTATGAAATAATGAACAACTGGAATTTTTTAGTATAATATGTCATAGTTTAGGTAAACACAGGGATGTTTCTCCAGGGTACCTTTGGAAGTTTGTTTTAAATTGTGGTGACTTTCCACTACAAAATAACGGCGACAGAGGAACTGACTAGATTGGCAATGCAAGCTTATGTGTCACTGATGGTTCGGTACGTAACTCTTCCAGGGTTCATCTATCCTATTTCATAACAATCCCCAATTACTACCTCTACTGTGCTTCTCTCAGCTGAACCCTGCCATTCAGTACGGATTGACTGACGGCCTTATTTCAACCAAGCGTCAGGAAATAAACCGAATTGCTTTGATGTGAAGAATTACTTCCTCGCTTTTTATAAGTGAGTGTGGATAACACATTCTGTATTATTCGAGAGGCCTACTCAAAAGCCAAAACCGCTGATCTGAGTATTTAAATTCTAGAATTTGCAGTACCGTAGATGAGCTAAGGTAACTGTTTTCTACTTGATTAGTGACAGCAAGAATTAAACTGCGGTAGCCGGCTTATGGGAAATTGCTGAGAATGAAGAGCCCATATTTTGGCTGACGTGCTGTTTGCCGCTTTCAATCCTCCTTTTATTTCATCAAGTTCACATGAAGAGAGAAAAGGCACTGAGTGACGTTCAGAACAGTTATAGCACCTTTCTTTTTCCCTCCCGAAAAAAAGAATAACTTTCTTTTCTTTCCTTTATCTACCGATATCTTTCCCATCTCACAAGTTTCATTCCTTTGTAATGACAGATGTTATGAAAGTGGCCGGTGTCGTTACACACACTCACCTCTCTGAGAGGTGAAGCTATAGAACGCGAATGGAGCCTCCCTATCTTTGAAAATGCCATCGCCCGTTGCTGCCCACAACTCATCACCGACACATCAATACAAAATTCATGGATCAAAAAGGGAGATAAAAATGAGTGTCTTGGAAGCTAGGGTGCAAATTCGGGGGGAAAACCACAGAAATAAAAGTAAATCCTTTCCTCCTCCCAGAAATCTGCTCTTCTGTTTCATCCTTTCACTTATTACGTGTTTATGTGTAAAAGTTAGGTGGGTCTTACCTTCTCCTTCCTTTATACTCTAAGGCATAATACAACTGTTCAAAGCTCAGACTCTGGAGCCAGACTCCCTGTGTTCAGATCTTAGATCTGCCACTTACTAACTAAGTGACCTCGGGGAAGTTATTTAGCCACTCCGTGTGTTACTTTCTTCAAACGCAAAGAGAGGATAATAATACAATCTAACTCTTAGAGTTGCTGAGAGCATCAAATGGGTGGACAAATCTAAAGTGCCCGTGACACTGCACAGTATGTGATGCTCACACCATGTAAGTGTGAGGTGCTATCATCATTATTCTGTCATATTACGTGCAGATTTCTACAAGAGTGCTTTCAAATGAATAAATTTCATTTATATTTTTGCCTCATTTATAGAAGTAAAGATACTCTATGTCCAAATTTGGGACAACTTAGAAGAGCTATAAAGAAGAAAAGTCATCTCCCTCCTGTAATCTTACGACCTAGAGGTAGTAAGAACTCCCAGTGTTGAGTGCATTCCACTAGTCCTCTTCTACCTCCCTCCACTACCACTGCTTCTCTAGACACAGAAGAAAACACAACGTACTTTTATAAAGAGACGTGAGTTAGGCAAAGCAACTGATTAGAAAGCAGGAAGCCTGACTTCCACTCCCTGTACCTCCCATGCCACTTAGGTGACCCTGGGCATTTCACTTCCTCTCTCTGCTCTTTGCCCCTCCACTGAACTGGTGCCAAACAGGTACAGCAAGAGCTTCACTCTGCCCTCCTTACAACAACGCTGAGACACCTTCATTAACTTCTCAAGAGAATGTTGCGACGCACGAAAGGGCAAAGTACAAAACAGGTGTGTACAGAACAGCTAAAGGCTTAGTTTACAGGGCATATGGTAACACAATCTGAGAGGAAGCAAAAGGCAGGCAGTTGTTATAATCTCTCCTTGGCTGTGGGAGCTATGGCGAGGTCTCCTTTAAAATGTTAATTATAACGTATTATGGGTATTTAAAGAAGGCCCTCACATGCAATTAGAATAATGCCAAAGAAATAATTCCATAATAAACAGACGTTAGTTTTATCATTTTTTGAATAACCCTGTGATAAGCCAAGAGAGAACACTATGAAATCAGTATAGCTGTGTTCCTCATTTGAATTCACTCTAATGTCTTAATAAGTATGTCTCCCGTGGTTATAACATAGCACCATTCTAATCTCATCTGAACCCTCAAGTATCATCTCCATACTGAGCAAATAAATGATTCATTTATTCAAAATAAAATAAATCATTCTGAAATTGGGGGATTTACATAAACATATGAGATATTAGCTACTTGTGCTAGGAAAGTGAGGGGCATGTTGCCATTTTAATTCATTTCTGGCCTTTTTTTGTTGTTCCGGATCTTTTCTTACCTAATGTTGAGAGACTTTTTCCTCAGCTCGCTCCACTTGAAGTTCATGTTATCCAAACGTCTTTGTAACAGAACCGCATCATCAGAACCTTCCAGGGATCTCAGGATTTTTTGGCCGTTTTCATCCAGGTTGTGATAGATATCTGTGTGAGCTTCGATTTCTCCTTGGAGGTCCTACAGGGCATCAGGAAGAACACACGCAGAATTACCAAACAAAAGAGACCGGCTGTGACTGTGAATTTGGAGAACTGCAAAAAAATAGACAATTAGCTCAAAAGGGATTTCAATTGGTTCAACTAACAAGAAGATACACCTCCAACTCACTTTTCTTGGTGTCTCATCTCTCTATGTCGTCCTGTAGATTGAAAGTGGGCATCTAATTAGGTATAATAAATTTATTCCTTGAGATTATGAATCGGAACATAATACATTTGTAACTTTATAAATTTCATAACTTATGTCTTCTAGTCCATGGAAAAAATACATTGTTTCATGGAAGTGACAGGAAATAAAACTCCGTGATAAAGTGCACCACAGGGCCAATCACTGTATTACACTGTGGGTCAAGTCATATTTTCCAAGCACACAGTAATCTGTAGAATTGACTCGGACCACAAAAGCATGGAGAGACTAATAAACAAGGCTGTACTTGGTCCATAGCACCAGCACATTAATGGGATTTGATCATAGGAGAGAATCTTCTTGACAATACACATTAAGTTCACCTTGGTAAAACAGCATCACACAATTATTACAGCACCATACATTTATTAGTAAGACTTCCCATTTAAAATACCATCACATTTTTAGGCTCAACAGGTGGAAAGTCCATAGGACTTTGATAAGAAGTGATGATTTCAACCTCAGTTGCATATACACAGATCAAGAAAATTATCATAGTAGAAGAATCTGACCTTTACATGGTATGTCTTCCTGTGTAACATTTTCAGCTTGAACCGGGGACTACAGCACTGATCCTGTTGCATAGCAATCCCGAGAAAACCCAGCGACTGAAAGAGCCCTGCTTTAAAATGCCAACTTTGCTTACATTCTGTTGACAGAATGAATTTCAGACCACAGGCCTCACCAGTCAATAATAATAAACAGCCACTTTGTACTCCTCACTAAACGGTAGCCAGGCCTGTGGATGTGGGAGGGACCTCAAAGAGAGGAGGCCTGGAATATGCAACTGATAGTTTATATTAAACAGCCAACTTTTCTTATCATTTTTCCATTATAAGCCAGAGACATTATAAATTCATTTTCTATATGTGTTTCCCTCCTTGTTCCCAGCAGAATGGTCAAAGCCAAAGGAACATTCCTTAGAGAGCTGCCGGGTACCAGCATTCCTTTCTGCCTACACAATGAATGGAGGCTTTGTACATTATCTGACTTGCTTTTAGAGATTTGTATGCTTCTGTTTAACAAGTTTAAAAATTCATTCTGAAGCTCCGAACAAATGGATGGATCTGTGTAACTAGAAGATTCCCCCCCCCCCTTTCTAAAATTGAATTAAGTTACTCTTCTAAAGTAAGGAAGGAAAAGTGGCAGCAATAACATGTTACAAAGTCTGAAGAAGTGGCCTGTGTTTTCAGTCACAGCCTCTTAGATGCAGGGAGATGGACGATGAATGTCTCCTGTCACTGTTTCTGGCAGCCAAAGTATCACCGATGGACTCTAAAGAGAATTCTGTCTCATTGCCTTCGACTGGAAGACAGGAGGGGAATATGGATAAACCCCATCTGGAGTTGAAAGAATAGAAATACTAAAACATATCGAGGAGCATCTATCTTTATCCCATCAAAAACAGGCTTGTTTTGGAAGGAAGTAGCCTGATTCTGAAACTAGCTGATGTGATGGAAAACCAGTATTGGGCTTCTTGCTGAATGGAGCTTGATCAAATATATATCCAATTTATCTTTGTGTACCTACATGGAAAAACATACCCTGCTGAATTTGCTGCTTGTTCAGTGAAAGAGAAAATTGAGGTTAATATATCTAGATAATTCAGGAATAAAAACCAAACAGATCCAAGTTATCAAGATAATGCCCCCACTTCTCTCTTTTACCTTACTTTTCTTCTTGTTGTATGTGGTTTGCTACCTAAAACTTGGCCTCAGAGTACACACTTAAGGAATTAAGACCAAACCTTTTGTTGTCAACAAATTAAGATATTTTGACTAATACAATCAGCTTTCTACATTAGCATGCATATACATGATAGTACATTTGAATTTTTAGGTCCTGCATTTATAGCAGAGACCCAGGTTCAATCAATAGTTCCTTAAGATTATGTGTATCGTGAAGTCATCAATACTTTGCTGAATAAATGAGGTCCTCCCAAGCACAAATAGGATGTTGATTCAGGAAATTTGCTAATTTTCATCTTTGCCACTTACGTTGCCCTGAATTTAAACATCTCTGTTGTATCATCGAGAAAGAAATGAATATAAAATTGATAAACCAGTGCTTGCTGAGGACTGGTTATTTGTCTAGCCTTAGCACTGTGGGAAATCTAAGAGGAAGGCAAGAGACGGTTATGCCTTTACTTTTTCTAAAATCTAGTATGCACTTTTTGTTTAAGTCATTCATTTTATCAACTACACATTGAGAATTTCCTGCCAAACCTCATACATACTCGGATTAAAATTTCTCCCCTTGGAAATTCAGAAGTAGCTGAAGTGAAGTCTTAGCATTGGCAGGAAGGTAGCTCTTAACTCAGTATTACTTCTCTAGTTTATGATGGTAGTGTAGAGCAGCAAAGGACACACGCATAGTAAAGGGCTTTACGGTTTACAAAGCACTTAAACGTGTATCGCTGTACTTATTCCTACTCCTTACCCAGTGAACCACATAATATTTTCTCTCTTTTACAGATGAGAGCACCGAGGCTCAGAGATGTTTAACTGACTTGCCAAAAGTGTTAAATGTGGGCAATGGATCCAGTTCCTTTGACCCTAGAAGATCTTAGGCTGTCTCCACACACCATTCGCTGCTGTAAGCACTGGCTATAACAGACAGCAGTTACCGAAGCTGAACAAGGCTACTGCTAACAAGGGGAAACAACAACCACTGAGGTTAAAGCACACGGAAAGATGGCATTACTGATTTTGATTAAACTTCACCCACGTGGATTGATTTGTTCAAAATGAAAAATGGAATCCTGACTACCCTGTTCACTTTTCATTTTGCAATTGCGCATGTGGGACCACCTGTGAGAAAAAATTATTTGCACTGGAAAAAGTCTGCTACAAAATATCCCCGCTGCCAGAACAGAAATTCTCCGAGCAGTAATTCACTCCTTTGTCTAGAAGAGTTGTGTGAACATTACAGGAAGTCATGACCTGACATATCAGCATAAACGTAGTTTGGCCATGCTCCTTTGGGATGGCGGGCTGGCAGGGATTCCGTCAAGCTACAGGACTCAGGTAGGTTGCTCTAAAAGGGAGGTGAGTATCGGTGAGGACCATGAGGCTTTCTTTAGGAAGTTAGCCTGCTATAGTGGAGATTTTTTAGTACATGTAGGCAGCATGAGTCCTAGGTGGGGAGGAAGACATTGACAGGGCACTTAGCAAGGAACACACTCATATTTGCATAAATTACCATGATGGCATTTATCCTAAGATTAACCTTGGACTCAGGGGCCCCAGAAAAGGAGGAGGTTAGAATGGAGAATCGAGTTCTCAGAGGAGACCCAATCTGGACAAAAAGTAATTTTCACAGATATTTTTTAGTAGTTTTATTTCACTTCTGACCTAACGAGAAAAGATCCCTCAAGCCTTAGTTGCTACGATCAATGTAAGTTTTCTCTTCTTTTTGTGACTGTATTCTTCAGGAAGAACAATAACTAATGAATAGGGAAAAAGGATTTGTTACATAACAACAGAAGCAGCAGCAACAGCGACAACATATGTTAAGACTTCCTTTACAACAGACACTTGTCTAAAGCACTGTATACACATGAGCTCATTTAATCTTCTCAGTAACTCTCCAGGGCAGGCATTATTAATACCTTCTTCACACATAAGAGAATGAAATTACAGAGAGGTTCAGTAAAAAATGCACAAGGTCACACAGCTAATAAACCATGCAGCGAAATTTCAAACCCAGGCCATCAGACTCCAGGGACTGGGCTCTTACCCACTAGGCTATATCACCTCTGAGTTTTTTCCTATTAATTAAAAAATGTCTCCTATTAATAATACTCCTGCTTAAATTTCAGCAAACCTAGCACAAGGCAGACTAACATTGTTTCCAGTACTCAAAGAGTAGCTTTACGGTCTTATTAATATGGAGACTGTTAAACACGCCTAAAGTAGTGGACAGATATATCCAATACAAGAGAGAGAGCATAAAATAATTGAGAAAATGGGTGCCAATGGAAAAATAATATGCAGCCCCTCCCCTCAGAAAGAGACATACAGCCTAGAGTTACGTATAATTATGGAGCAAATTTCAACTGTGAATATCAAGAAAGTTCAGATGTGAGGCAAGCAGTATGCTTATATGCTTACAAGGCAGTTGTAGGAGTAGGCAGTATTGTGTTTCCTGGAGAGCATTTTCAAATCTCACCATTCCTTCTTTTCTGAGCATCTAGCCTACTTCTGTCATAAGTCCCCTTTCTCAGCCTCCAGGGAAAACTAATGGGAAAGTGCAGTTAAACAGACATAATTCTCGTCTCTTCCTTCTCTTTCCCTTATTAGCTGCATAAGTTTAGACTCTTTAATCTCCTTGGCTTCACTAAATATTAAATAATAATACCTACCTGCTGGGTTATTTTGAATATTACATGGCATAATCTCTGTAAAATACTTTGGACATCATCTAGAACACAATAAGCCTTTAATGAGTAATAGCTAATGTACGGATTTCTATTATAAGAGAATCAGTGTGGGAAAAAAGTGATAGAAATAGACTTTACAAAGTCATGGAACTTCGTTTGAGCCTTGAAGGATGGATAGGATTGAGAAAGGTGAAGGGAAGAGGAAGAGAGCATTCCAAGTGAGAAAAGCCTGGAAATGGCAAAAACGTGGCAAGGAGTTTGGATTACGAGCAGGTACAATGAACTGCACGGCCTGATTGGAATAGACAATGAGTGTTGAGAAGAAACAGGTAGAATATAGTCGATGTCCTTAAACTAAGTAGGATAAAGACCTTCTTTCAGGAAGCTACTG